CTCACAGATTGTCATACATTTCCCTTAACGACAGTTCAGAGAATTTGACAGTACATCAAGATAACTTTCTCCTGTTAACATTTTTCTTTTTTTTGCCGTGACCTAGCTGTTTGACAGCGAATTGATACTGTAAGAAAACTCTTGGGAATTGAGATCCAATCAAAATGGCTTCATGACGATTCAGGTCAGGTTCCTAACACTAAATAGGAAACTGGACTGAAACGTTAGAGAACCGTTTAAAAGAAAAACACTTCCTCATCTACAAGGCAATATGTTTAGTTCGCTTGAAAAGATCAAATTAAGAATCGTGACGTCTTGTGAGTTCTTATAGTCATGTGTGTGTAACGCAACGGAACTGAGAATCAAACTTGTGTCACGCTATGGCCACAATAAAGACTCAGGCCTTTTAGCTTCGAGTTTAATCATGATTTCTTACAGGTAATGGTGATCCCAAATCTTCACCGTCCAATCTGCGCTACACGAGATGAAGATCTTCGGGTGAAAATGATTCCATTTGACAGAGTAAACCGCCATGTGGTGGGCCTGTAACGAAAACGAACTCAACTTAGACAGGAAAAAACAGGTTGTTTCGAGAAAAAAACAGAGAGAAGACCAACGAGGGAAAGGCGGAGAGATTTGACAGGATGAAAAATATCAGACGTTTGAATAACAATCAACGGAATCAGGCGCTTTCCACCTTCGGTATGGTTCTGAGAAGCTAAAAAATACCCAGAATACAGGAATATGCAGCACTAATGGTTTGGTTTACAGTACTGAGTAGCCAAAAAATGATAGAACTCCATTACGAAGTAACGAGGATAAATTACGATGGAAAGAATGAAAATGGATTACAATATAACCACATTTGTTCAGCCTGAAGCTCGCGTGTTCAAATTTAGCTTGAGTTCCACCATTTGTATGAAGAAGTTGTTCTGAGTTTAAAGGCGTTTGAATTTGGTTCCATTAGCCCTGAAAAGCCCCATTGGGAGAGTGGTCATTTAAGATTTTTTCCCCATAATTTGAGGAAACGTTTGACGCTTTCATTATTTCATTCCTGAACTCTCCCTTTTGCTTTCCTCGCTAGGATTTGAACGTAAGGCAGGGAAATGGAAACTTCAAGGACTGGACCGTGCCTTCATTAGAGCTGTGAGCAAATATCAAGTGTCTGCGGCTCGTGTTCCCACAGCATTTCCTGTTCTCCCAAACTTCCACTCGTGTTGCTATTAAGCAATTAGATTATGAGCTCGAGATTTCTATCGCGTGATAGTTGACGAGGGCGCAGCCCGAGTCGACTATCACGCGTAGAAATCGAGAGCGAATAATCGTTTTAGTATAAATCTACTAGTCGTTCAAAACTTTATCTAGATCCTCTTCACAGACACTTCGAAAAGGCCAAGAAGCGGCCGTCATTTTGTTAACAAGGGCTCACTGCTACGCTACTCACTATCTATCACAGAACAGATAGTGAGTAGCGTAGCCAATCAGAGAACGGCATTCGTGATACAACGCTAGTAGATTTATACTAAAACTCGATAGAAACACGGTACATGTTTTCTATTTCTTAACGAAAGATACCTACATCATAAGTTTCAAGGAACTGGCTTGAATATGTTTTGGAGCACTTATGAATCTTTCCTTCTTCTGTGCCTGTTAAAAAGGAACGTAGAAAAAACGTTTAAACATGACATTTTGCAAGGAGGATGAAAGTTAATAAAAAAAATTAACACAATGAATCTTGACAAGTTGATGTTTCTTAGTCATTTTAACGCATTTTTAGCAAATCAGATAACGTATCTGGACCGCACGTGCAGCTACTGACATCATATCTGGACCGCACGTGCAGCTACTGACATCATATTTGTACCGCACGTGTTGCTACTGACGTCATGTCTGTACCGCACGTGCAACTGCTGACGTCACTGCCTTCTTTGCTAGCTTAGGTTTTGATTGGTCAGTTATAGGAGGAAAACCTACATGTATAAAGAGATCTGAACTATTCCGAAAAGTTCTAGCAAAAGCACAGAGCAAAACACTGCAAATTACGAAAACACAAGAGTTTGACTAACTTTCTACTCACCAACAAGAAACATGTAGTCCATTGTTTTATGAAAATCGAATGCTGTACCACATCCTGCAAAAAAATTAGACAGATTTGTCAAAGTGGAAAAACTTAGTCAGTCAGTCACTCAGACAGACAGACAGACAGACAGACTGACAGACACACAGACAGTCAGTCAGTCAGTCAGTCAGTCAAACAAACAATCAATCAATAAATAAACTACAATATTTAGAGAGGAAGCCACATCAGCCCTAGCTGGTTTTCATGCAGGTCCTCTATCCTGGTCGAAT